GGGTATGTGTGTATTCCCGGTTGTGCGCTTTGCACAACAGGGAATGATGATCGTTGGAATCTGTGGTAGGACTGAGGTGGAACTCAGGTATACGTAAAGAGAGACTGATTTGTAGAGAAACCAGGAGGTGAGCCGGAGTGTAGTGGTGTGATCTTGGCTCACTGCAACCTGACTCCTGAGTTCAAGTGATTCTCCTGACTCAGCCTCCTGAGTAGCTGGGATTACAGGTGCCTACTACCACTCCCAGCTAATTTTTGTATTTGACGGGTTTCACCATGTTGGCCAGGCTGGTCTCAAACTCCTGATCCACCTGCTTCACCCTCCCAAAGTGCTGGGATTATAGGTGTAAGCCACCATGCCCTGCTGATTGTCTTATCTGTAAAGTGAGGACAAATGGACATAAGAGTACTGTACGTAGCATAGAATAAACACTCCACAAATGGTGGTTTACTGTGAATGGTAATCATTGAGACAAGGGTATGGTTTATAGGCTGCCTGAGTTCCGGAGATGGCTGCTAATCATGCCACACGCCGTGATTAAGTGTCCTGTTTTTACTCCGCCACCATTTGTTATTTGATGGACTTGATCCTCGGAGGAGCAGGGCGGAATTCCAAAGGCATGTGTTTGAAATGAAAGGGGAGGTGCATGCACACGGTTCTCCTAGGGCTGTTCTGTAACCACGGTTGAGAGACAGGGCTCCTCTAGTCTGAGGATGACCCACTTAGGTGGAGTTCCCTGTTGGCTCAGCCCCTGTGACCTGGACCTTCAGGGGTATGGTAGGAATTGCTCCTTCACTCAGCAGATGTCTGAAGGCCACAGGTGTGGCAGGTCCTGCAGTGGCACATTTTCATGATATTCCTGTCCACAACAGACTGCGCATGCATTGGTGGTTCCCTAGGATGATCATACTGTTTTTACCTCCCTTTTTTGTGTTGAGACAAATAATTGCCATCCTGTTAGGGTGGCCTAGAGTGTCTGGGACATGCAGTCGAGGTTTGTAGCCGAGAAGCAGTGGGTTCTCCCGACAGCCCAGGTATGTGGCGGGCTGTGCCTTCCAGGAGCGTGTGAGTGCACTCTGACAGCACAGTCTTGACAGCCCAGTGACAGAGTTGCCTGACAATATGTTGTTTCTCAGAACCTGTCTGTCATTAAGCAGTGTGAGACTGTATGTTGTAGAATTTTGTAAGGTATAGACTTCAGAATTGTTCCGAGAAGTATTTGCACGTGGAGTGCTTACCTCTGATTGGACCCTAGACTTGTGGAGTCATCTGGTGTGTATCCGTTTTCTGTTAGTATCATGGCCCAGCCCATTGGAGGGGCCTGGTGGGGACACTGCCTGGCAGCGTGCCCCCTTTGGCGCTCTGTTGTGTGCAGCTTCTGAGCCTCGAGGCAACCACCCCCACGATGTCCCACCATATTCTGTAATGTCCATAGACTTCTGGCTGAGGAGGACATGTGAATGTTTTAAGACTCCATATTTAGGCATGACAGCAGTTGCAAAGCCTGTTGGGGATTCAAATATAAATGGACTTCTTGAAGTAACTTTATTTTTCTAAAGAGGGATGTGGAGTATTTTTATAGAAATTTTTTCCCTTTTTAGGTACAAAACACTGTGATAGTTGGCTACTGCCACAGAAAGTTAATTGAGTCCTTTGTGTCAGCCAGAGGATGAGACTCTGGTGGGATTCCCATGCAGGCAGTGGAAGGAGGCCCTGCCCCAGCGCCAATAGGGCAGCTGAGGGGCACCCCTCAGCCCCAGGCCTTGTGTTCTGTTGCTGGACGGGGATGGCAGTGACAGCACTCAGTTCTTTTTTTGAAGCAGACTTGGATGCAAACACAGTGGTTTAGTTTTGAATGAAGGTCTGATCCTGAGATTGTTCTTAAAAAGTAATCCATCAGGAAATGGATCAGCAAGAAGGGAGTTCATTTCTTGCTCCGTGTGTGGGGTTTTCTTCTCAATCGATGGTCTCGCCTGCGGTGTGTCCGTTGTATGGCTGTCCCGTGGGGCACCCAGTCAGGAGGGGATGGAGCGGCCGTGGAGTCTGGAACTGTGAAGTGAGGCCAACTTGCAGGACTCCATAGAGACTTAGTGAGCTGAGGTCCTGCTACGCATCAGTATGTGAGGAGGCCGCCCCACAGGCTCATGCCAGCTCCAGGTTGGATTAGTAAAACTGGTGTCTAGAAAAAGGGACTGCTTGCTTCTGGTTGACTTTCCGTGGATGGGTGTGGTGGTCATTCTGAGTGCCATATTAAAAGGAATGCTGCGGACGGAGGGTGCTGGAGGAGAGGAGCCAGTGGGAACCTGTGTGTGAACAGGGAGAACGGAATTTGCTGCAGCCCCTAGGAGTCAACCTGGTGATTCGGTGAATGATCCCTCGGAACTTTGTAAACTTGGAATAGATCACTCAAGCTTCCTTTTAGCTTTTAGAGTCCATGTCCTGATGTGTTTTTAGGGTACTTGCCTCTTTGTAGGCTTTTACGGAAAACGCTGTAAGTGGGTTTGGGGGATTGCTGTGTAATATGCAGAAAAATAAATGGAGGAAGAATGCATTGTGTAAATAGGCACCGGCTTGTGTGATGAAAGCTGCACCTATCCTTTGCAGCCCAGAGTGACTATGACCTGTGTGGAGAGGTTGGAGGGCCGGGCAGAGGGCGTGTGTGAAAGCTGTGGAGAATCCTAGGGAGTGGATTCCTAAGAAGGCGAGGTGGGTCCTCAGCGAGGATCCCAGGGAGTGGATTCCCAAGCAGGAGGTGAGGCGAGTCATCAGGATCCCAGGGAATGGCTGCAGCGCCCCTGCCCACCGACCCTACTTAAGGCCCTGCCCTGGTACCTGTGGCTCTAGGAGATTTCCTCGGTAGTCCCAGCACACGCACCTGTTGAGGCCCATATTGTAGCCCACAACCTTCCCTGTGTGCCCAGCCTTCTCTGTACCTGGGCGCCCTGCACATCCGTGGCCTGTGTAAGCACCTCTGCAAGCTTTCTGAGCGCTTGCTGCTCCAGTGCCTCCTCCCCACCCCATTCTGTTCCGTTGTTCCTCCCTCTGGTTGTGAAAGTCACGGCTGCTCACTGGAGGACTGCTGGGAGATGCGGGAAAGAATCAAGACCAGAAAACCACTGAGTACCCCCAGATAGAATCAGGAATAGGATTGGCTTTGCACCCTGCCTTTTCACTTAGTTTTTTTGAGCATTCTTCCATGATACGCAGTATTTTAAAGAATGTTTCTTTTTTTTTTAAGTAAACTGCTCTGAGCTAAAAGAATGTTTCTTAAACATCTTTGTCAAGTTGATAAAATGAAACGCTATCTGCTTTATTTGAAATTCTTTGATTTCTAGGGAGGTCGATTATAGTTTTGTTTTCATTATTTGTATATTTTTAAGGTTTTAAATTTGCTTTTTGTATTGCTGTATATTTTTATATCGGTGTTATTGAGGCATAATTATAATGAAATTCAGTAACATGCATGCCTTTTAGGTATAGAGTTAGATGAGTGTTAGGAAATATGCACACCCATGTCATCACCACCACAGTCGAGACGTAGGCCTTCTTGTCACCTCAGAGAGCGCCCTCTTACCCTGTGTAGTTGGTCCCCTCCCAGCACCTACCCCGGAAGGCCGCTGTGGGCCATGGTGGCATCTCGCGTTTCTGACGCTTGTGTGCATGGAGTCCAGCAGAACCTGCTTTTGTTCAGCGAGGTGATTGCTGTGTGCGTCAGTAAATGATTCCCTTTTGTTTCTGAGAAGTCCTCCCCAGTGTGGGCAGCAGCACACGCTGTTCATTCACCCACTGAAGGACAGCTCGGCTGCTGGGGTGATAGCAGAGAGCATCTGTGAACATGTGCATGTCAGTCGTGTGCGGACCACTGTTTTCCTTTCTCTTGAGTAAACGTTTAATGTCATATTGCTAAGCTGTGCACCAAGTATGTTTCACATTACAGAAGCAGTCACTGTGGCTTCACTGTCTTGCATTCTCACCGGTGCCGTGGGTCCAGCCGCCCTGCGGCCTCCTCAGCACTTGATGTTGTCTTGATTTCGGGTGCCCAGCCATGTGTGGTAGGAGGTCACAGTGGATTTGGCACGTGTTTCCCTGACCACTTGTGATGGTGGCCATCTTTTCCTGTTTTCATTGGCCATTTTCCGTCTTTTTTCCTCCATTTTTATGTCATATGAACTTTCTGATCAAATCTTTTGTTTGTGTTTTTATTGGGTCATTTATCTTACTATTATAAGGTACAGTTCTGGACCGGGCACAATGACTCATGCCTGTAATCCCAGCACTTTGGGAGGCTGAAGCGGGCAGATCACTTGAGGTCAGGAGTTGAAGACCAACCTGGGTAACATGGCGAAACCCCATCTCTTCTTAAAAAAAAAAAAAAAAA